TTATTGACTGCCCCAGTGACCCAGAGGGCAACTACGAGCACAATGAGGGAGTGGCTATCGTTATGTCATCAAAAGCAGCCAAAAATCTGCTGCACTCAAAATAAAGAACAAAATTCAGACTTTCAATACCAATATAAAGTCATTTCTTCAAAGCAGATCAGAAACTTGGCACGTCATGAAAAACATTCCCAACAGCCATCTGCGGAGTTTCATCAACAGCCGCCTCCACTCCATGCTGCAGGTAAGGTAATCGGAAAGAACTAGCAACAAAAACTATAAAAACGAATCAATCAAGAACCTGCTGATAATAGATTGAGATGGATTGAGCACACGCCAAAGAGACCGTTCGGTGAAACTGCTCCAGGCCCTCAAGTGGAACTCGAATGGGAAACAGTAAGTGGGGCATCTGCCGATGGCATGGAGGAGATGATAGATTATGGGCAATCGTGGGGGCAGCTAAAGGTGACTGCGAGAACAGGGCAAAGTGGAGATGGGCTGTTAAAGCCCTATGTTCCACTAGGAAACCAAAGGTATATATATATATGGTAAATGCGATCTGATTAACTTTCTGACTGGCTTGCATTTAAATAGGCAGTCTATAGCTGCCCAATCTATCCAATAATTTCTGCAGTCTCATTTTATTCAGTACAGTAATTCCTAACTTTAGATTTCTAAGAAACTTAATGGACAGACAGTTTGTTAGCTTTGGTATACATCTAACAATGTTTCATTCTGAAATTCGAATAGTTATCTACATAAATGATGTTATATGAACCATATAGTGTATATCTGAAATTTTATGTTATAAAAGATTTTATAAAGTAGTTAAAATTTATATAAGGCATTATAATGATGACTGTGATAACAAAGATACTTTTCTTTCTCTTTTCCTTGTATACATACACAGTAGTAGTTTCGATAAAAACAGTTGAATCTTATTCATTTAAACCACATAAATAGCGAGGCACAGTAGACTTTTATTGACAAGACAACTGAAATCCCTACTGACGCCAATGTAACTCATTGGCGGGCAAACAAAATAGCCACAAGTTCACTTCATATTTCATTATTTTTTTTTTTATTTTATTTTGATTACAGCTTGATGCCACACCGTATTTTTAGTACAAGTATGGAATTTTCAGCATGGATATTGGTAGCCGAAATTTACAGGCCGACCATAGATATCAGGTGTGCGTCAGCAGGGGATCGAAACCCGGACCATGTGCATGGTCGGCGAGAGTCCTAACCACTGTGCCACCGACGCAGTTTGATAAGCTGAAAAAATACAAATAACAATAAGATTTGTGGTCCTATGATTGTTCTACTGGATAATTTTTAATACAGCCTAGATCATCAGTTTATCACGCTATGCAACTACATGAGAAACACTGTCATCAAAAGAATGTCTATTTTCAGAAGGAGAAACAGTATTTCAAACCAATGCCAAAGTTATATTTGAGTTTGAAATGTTTAGATATATATTTGAAGTTTTTCGTTATTCATATGAAACGTATCTCTTTTAAAATTATTATTATTATTAAAACCCTTGAAAGCCTGACAAACATGAATCAGTAATGAAAAAAACCAAAACTGAGAAGATCTTTCGATATTTTAAAAGATAATCACTATCAGTGAGTGTGGTGTTTCATTCTGATTTGATTTATAAAAGTTTCTTCTTAGTAAATGAAACATTTTGCATAGATACTTTTTTCATTTCTGTCGTATTCATTCATGTGAAGCGTATTTGTTTAACTGTTTACGTCATGCGTGTGTTTGTACAAAGTAAAATTTGCAACTAGGTGCATTCACTGTATTGTATTGTAGTGTTTTGTTGCATTTCAATAATACCTAACTAGTATGAGTGAAACGTGTGAAAAATAAAGTAATCCCAGGGGTGTGTTTTTCACACGCTGCATAAGTAAACGGCATAAAAGATATTTCAGCCGAATAAAACATCAATGAATCACCTTTAAAACAGAAGAAAAACTATGAATGAGGGTCGTCACAACCAGGTGAGAGAACACAGCTAATTGCAAATTGACTACCAGTTAAGAGGATGGTAGCCAGGAGACACAATTCTGTCATTTATAGGGAATTTAAATCAGTTCATCTTAAGCTAAAACTTGCTCTGAACATGTTGTCCAGAAGGACGACGAAAACTCCACAATTAAGTTAACCAGCTTGGCGAACACAACTAATTGCAGATTTACCTCCACTTGATTTCCCCCCCTTGTTGATAGGTTCCATCATTTAGATGGATGTATATGTAAGGAATCCTGTAATCATTTCTATTGTTACTTTTGATTGTTTTAAAAGTTTTATAGCGTCGGTGGCACAGCGGTTAGGACGCTCGTCAACCATGCACATGGTCCGGGATTCGATCCCCGGCCGACGCATTCCTTTACCTCGCTAAGCCAGCAATAGGACTGGTAAAGAGGAAAGGTTGGGCATGAGGCTAGCAACCCCATCCTATAAAAATAAACACCACTGCTACAGAAACTTCAAGCCTCTAGCTTGAAGCCCTATGTTCCACTGGAAACGTGAAGGATCCTATACAGTTCTACCGTTCACTTGTACTATGCACAAAAACCCTCATGAGATTGACGTTTACACTCATCCAAGTGAAATACAATCGAATTATATATATTTTTTAAAAGACTTGAGGAGATCGCGAGGAATGCAGTTAAATAGATTCTTAAAATATGTATAGATTCCCAACTATGCTGTAAATATTGGCTATATTGTTACAAACACTGGGGCTTTCTATTCTCAGGTATTACTCTTTCCCTTGCAAGACACTAATCGAATACTATCCTTTGATACGTATTCTTCTTTTCTTTTCTTTGCCCTAGTTTTTATTATGACATAAGCTGTTTTGTCTTCTGCTTCCCGCTGATTTTATGGTTTAATGATAGATTAAAGTTTACAGCCAACTTGTTACTTCTATGACTTACTTTCTTTGCCGATAATGTCATCTTATCTTATAGTATCGAGCATTACACACACTTTTTGATAAGATTTCTACTTAATTTTTGCCATTCTGGTAATTTTATACCATCTTTAATACTCATGACATACAAGACATACAACATAGGAGTTTGAGACTTTATTTTAAACTTTCCCTTACTAAGGTGTTTGTATTTATTGTAGATTGTTAGACATCTTACACCACTTCAAGGTAGGCTTCTTTAGGAAAAAAAATCTAGTTAGAATGACAAGAAACACTGAATAACTGCTTCCTTAGAGTGATAGTATCTGTAGTTTGCACTGGGCTACATTAGTTTACTCATTCGTATTTACATTCTTGAATCACAGTGTGCACTTACGTGTACTTTTCAAAAGATTTTAAACTACTGTGAAGCAAATAAAGTACAAATATGGTGGAAGAGTAACGCATCTTCTCGACTGGAATAAATAATAAACTACTGGCTATTGTTCTTCTTGAATATTCTGTACACAGGCTGAATAGTTTTCGACAGATTACATTGAGAATTTTATGCTGTATACAAACTGATTGTTCATCATTAAACCATTATTACGTAATTGTCAGGTTACAACTAGGAATTGAATTTAAGACCCTAAGGTTCTTAGAAGCGCTTACACACTTAACATTAGCATTAGTGAGTCTGAACATTTTATCATACTTAAAGTTTTGGAAATATTTTATCTTGCTACTGATATACTTCAGTCATCGCATACAAGTTGAACACTAATTTAGTTACCACGATCGTATATGTTTTTCTATAAGGTGGTGATTTATAGATGAGTATTCATCACCTTAATGAGTTAAGGTGATTCCCACCTTCAAGATTATATCAGATTCTTCAAAAGTATAACTGAGTCTGGCTAGTAAACAGAAACAAGGAAGCCTAACATTCATGATCGCTAATCATGTTTACTTACTAATAGTGCTTCAAGCATTCGTAATAATTAGCCCTGTTTTAAACATTTTCAGAAGACGATTATTGAACATTTTGTTTCTATAACATGACACGAGTAATCAAACCATGAAAAAGAGTTTTCCGTAAATATTTTCGATTGCACACTAGTCAGTAACTAGTGTAATGTGTCTAGTCCTATCTTTGGTGCAGACTGAAATCTATCAGTCATGTTTGCAATGTGGCCACCATGGTAGGTGGCTCACCATTGCGCTGCACTTTAAATTGTTTGTATTAGATGGTTGGAGGCAATCGGCAGGAAGCCTTCCACCTAGGTTTCGTGCTAGTTAGCACTCACAAGTCAGCAAGGCGTATCTGCAACCTTCAAGGAACTGATGTCTCTTCTGAGATTCGAACCCGTAAAGTATCATAATGAAAAGTGACACCTAGATCTACAGTTTACATTCTAATACATCACTTTGTTAACATACAAGCCACAAGACCAAACCATAGACTATATAATGTCAAAGAATATTTCCAGTGCACACAAGAATCAACATATTTGCATAGTAAAACCATGATATAATTATTTACAAATAATCCTGAATACCATAGTGAATTATCACACACACATATACACATTTTATAGCAACTTTCAGACTAATTTCTTTGCAAATCATGGGTGGGGGATATATATAAACTGTCACAAACCAAACTTGCCGCGCTTTTATTTCAGTAGACTTGTATAGGTAGAACAGAGGCGGTCAGTGACAATTTGAATATCCTGACATAGTTGGTTTAGTATTACGGGCATGGATAAATACTGTAATTATATCAGATCTTACGTTTGGCTGTTTTAAAGACGTTCCATCAACTTTTCTACCTGGCTAGACCTTACGATATCCTTTATCCTCATTTGGAAATCATATCACCCTTGTTTGAGATAAAGTTACTATTAGTGTTATTTAGGCAAAAATGATCTTAAAGGATCTTGATAAATGAAGGTATCAAATAGTAGATTGAATGGCAATGACATACACTGTTTTCTTTTTTTTTAGAAAAAAAGGCATTAAAGTATACTAAGTTAATTTGATGACACTTTAATGTTATAATCATACTAACCTGTATTTCTCAGCATTATATCGAATTATTGTCGCAGAAGTTAGTAGTTAATCAGCACCAATAATACTTTCCAAAGTAATGTAACTCCTCCTTATTATTATTAATATTATTAAGAAGATGTTTCAATGAATAATATTTTTGTGCCAACTGTATTATTATTGTTATTATTGTTACTATTTGAAATCATAAAGTAATCCTGTCTTTTTCGTTAAATGACTTCTCTTTTTAACGTATCAGAAATCTGACAGAATAGAAAAATAAAATCGAATAAAAATTACTAGCATTATATAGAAAAATGCATATATATATACATATTTATTCAGTGCATATATATATATATGAGTGAAGCTCAAGTGTGCAATAGATAGAATAGTCATACTTATGCGTTACCCACATTTGTCCAACGCCCTATTTCACAAAAATGCCATTCTTATCATTATTATTACTCATAAAGATGAATAACAGAACAAACCTACATGAGTAGCAATGGTACGTACTTACGTAAGCTTTCGTATTTCCAGCACATATATATATATGTATGTATGACTTTTAATGTTATACACTATAAGTTAGTAAAGTTACTTTAAAACAGATCGTCACCTACGCATAAAACATCTATATATTCGCTTGCTTTATACTCTCAAAATTGATTTTTATTCGTGTTTACATGTTTGCGTTTTTTGTGTGCATACATTGTGGCATGAATATATATATGATCACAAGTAACTAAAAGCCAATTTGTTAATACTCACATTTCTATTACTGCATCTGATCACACAAACGTAGAAGCCATTTTAAAAGGGATTGAAATATTAAAAATAGCAGTTTATTTGGTCAAAAGACCTACAGAAGATATTCGACTGTATTAAACAGCTTTTAGAAACATTTATTTCCCGATACGAATTTAAAACAAGCAATAAAGGTTAATAAAGCAGGATTTAATGAATTCATCAAATTTCGGTAGAACTCGTCAGCTGAATACTCTACATACACGGATATATACTTTGAAGTTACATTGGGAGATATAGGACTGAATTCTTTACATACACGGATATATATAGTTTTGAAATTACATTGGGAGATATGGGACTGATAAGTAAATAAACTACATTGAATTAGTCATGCAGAAAGACAGGTGCGAATGTTTTTTCCAGGTCATGTGCAATTAGATAAGGGGAGAGAGAGTATGGGAGATCAAAATTAAGATAAATTGCATTACGCTTCAATTACATCACTTAGATAAACAATTAGACATTAGAGAATTTAACAAGAATTGCAACCAGAGGGATGTCAATAGTAATAGTTATAATAACAATAATATAATATAACATAATAATAATAATAGTGTTGAAGTGGGTTAAGATAATGCTACTGATAAAGGATAGTTTTAAATGAATCAAGAATAATAATAATAATGAGAATAATAATAGTAATAGTAAAATAATAATAAGAGGTAGAATTGTAAGTAAAACATATTACCATGGTAGATTCAGAGTCACGACCATCTCCTTTTGCACACAGAGACCTGGTTTGAAAACTCGAATTGCACAAGCCTCTGCAATTGCAAGCATCTTCTTGTTTCTTTGTCTGCTGACAATGGTGAATGACTTGACTGCGTCGATATCATGCCCGTAATCCACAAGATGCTTTGTTATTGAGGATTTTGGCACTTTGAACTCGGCTGTTTTCAACCATTTTGGCAAATGCTCCATCATGCGAGTAGACAATCTCCTTTCCGTACGACCTATGTATTTGCTTCCACAAACACACTCAAATTGATATACGCAGTTTGAAGTGTCGAGGATTGGCGACTGGTCTTTCCCAGATTGTTGAAGCACTCGCTTAGTGGTGTTAAGGAAAACAAGTTTTGCAGCATAATAAGTTCTCTTGATGGCTTTGTCGAGTCTTCGTTTGACTACTTCCTGTACATCATCTCCTTTGAACGGCAAGTTGATGTAGACAGGTTTCTTCGGAACTGTTTGGATTGTTTTGCAGCGGGTGTTTTCTTTAGAGTATTTATTAATGAACTTCTCAGGGTATCCATTCTTAGATAAGATATCCTTCAGGGATTTTATTTCATACTCAACAGTACTGTCAGAACAAATTTTCCGTACTCTATTGAACAGTGTTCTGACTAAGTTCTTTTTGTACTGGATTGGAACAAAACTCTTGAAATGCATGTACTGTCCTGTCCATGAGGACTTTCTAAATATAGATCTTTCGATTGTGCCATCATTCATTTTCGCCAGAAAAACGTCTAGGAATTTGATAGTATCATTTTCCTCGTGTTCTACTGTGAAATTGAGATTTGGATGGCATGAGTTGAATTTTATCAGCATGTCTTCGGCTTTTGATCTGCTTCCACAGGCAATAAAAATGTCATCAACATATCTTAGGTATAGATCCGTTTCTTGTATATGTTGTTGCAGGGTACCGGTTTCTAGGCGTGATAAGAATAAGTCAGCGAAAAGTGGTCCCAAGGGGCTTCCCATTGCGACACCATCAACTTGACGGAATAAACGCCCGTCGAATTGGAATTGGACATTTTTGGTACATAAAAGTAGATGCTGAGACAGAACGAAGAAAATATGCCAGTCATGGTCTAACACCCACAGATTGAAAGTACTCAATATTTGAGAGAGAAGGTATATATCACAATAGTGTGGGTATTACTCAGTGTGGGTATTAGATGAATGGTGACCTTACCTACCCGATACATATTTCCACATCAAAACTGATCATAAACCTCTAATAGCGGTTGATGACAGCGAGAGACTCACGTCGGAAATTATCGTGGTAGATTTTATCCTCTCCATCATTCTCGAGAAAGAAAATTTGTTAGGTAGCATGTCTTAAACTAGAAGATGAAGCCCAGTTACCTGAGATTGCATATGGAAAAACAGGCACCAGAATAAGATCCATTAAGACTCGTCTGCTGTCCAATATCACATCTTTTCCTGAATACAATGATATCAGTGATTAATTATGGGATGGATATAAAACGACAAATGAAAAGCTAAACATTTTACTCAAGCAGATGAATCGATTGAGACTGAACTCTTAAAGAAATTAGACTTGACGACAGAATGATGGAATTTATCTGGAGTTAGTATTTCAGTACCCACTCCATGGGATGATACATGAACACCACGGGCTAGTAAGCAGAAGTGTAGCCACAACAACCTTGAAACAAAGCATCTATTGGCAAAGCACGAGAGATGTTAGGAAAAATGTGCTGAGCCGTCCGTGGTGTTAGTTGATGAAAAAGGATTGATGCATATGGTCATCTCTTCGTTCAATTCTAGTAATAGCAGCAGGCAATTCGTGATTCTTAAAAGTAAAGCGACTTTTTGCGTAGTAAACTCAGTGGTAGGCAGTGACTACTACTGGTAAAAGAAACACGCAGCACGATGGAATCAAGGCCGTCACGATGCCAAATCAACACGAAAAGTCTAATGCAACGAACAGTAAGTCCTTGCACCCTACGGTATACCAAAGACGATATTGATAGATCCGTCTGTATTATGTTTAAAGGTAAAATCAAACTCTGAAATTATAAAATCAGATGTGAAATCTGATCAAGAAGCTTTACTACACATATAAGTTCAGTAACATGAAGGTGTATTAGATGCGGATAATTTTCAGCTTATAAATGATAATACGCTTTTGTCAAGTGAGAAGAATTCACGTTCACCTGCGTCATCTAAGTCTCTTGATGGCTTTGTTGGTTGGTTTATTTGCTTCAATGCTTACTACCAGTTTATTTGGGCGCGGCCCAGTTTTACTGCCTTTATGCTTGGGTATAGTTTGCTAACAATCAGTGTCATCAAATTCCATTAAACATGAGACAATTATACGCGTTCTGTTATTGCTTGGAGACCCCTTGAATCCTCCTACAAATTTTGTTTCTCCAAGTATGAAAGATACTGTTAAAGGCATGTACTAGGACTTATCCTTATTGATGGAGCTGGCGGACTATACGTATAGGTTAGAGTGAGGATATGCACACGTACTGTTGTGAGTCCTGGACCCCAAAAGTGGGACACAGAAAACGATAGAATGCTTGCAAAGGTGTCTCAAAGTGCATGGAGGGATGTTGGTGGCCGGTGTAACTGTATAATTGTTTGAAAAATCCCTCCTGAATAATCTAATCACAGTATTTATACCTACTTGAATGTTCCAAGTTCTCCTAGACTGGATATCAGTGTTCTTAAATTTGTTTGTCACATGTTGACTTCATCCTTGTTATTTGTTTTTGTCCCTGTTTAATCTCTAACTTTAATGGTTGTGTGGTGATATTCCTAATGTGTTGTACGATGTGATTTTTGTGTGAGTGCATTAATGTCATTCTGACCTTGGACTGTGTGCGGGCATGGTTGGTTTGCAACTCTTGCAGACAGATTTTTGATCCCTACTTCTTGGGAATAATATACTTGATTCTAAGTTAGTTATTAAGGTTGAATTTCGCTTATCTAATTTTGTTCTATAGTACTTTCTTCTGTACTAGAAACTTATCTAGCCTGCATAGCAGCCTAACAGCACTTTTGAGGTAAATTTGAGTTTTTGACGTTAATATTGTTGAGTACAATGTAAAGAAACAAAATTTACAGTTGAGTTCATGGTTGTAAAATGTGTCTGGTGACTTTCTTGTACAAAACAGGGCGCACTAAATAGAAGATAATCAGAGTGAAGTGGATATTTCATCATGATATATTCAGTATGCAAAACGAAAGAGGTAGAATCATATTTTTAGAAAGGAGACGCGATCATCAACAAAGAAGCAGGATAGTACAAATAGAAAATTTAATAGTGCCGAAAGAATGATAGAATAAAAGGTATAATTTATAGAACGTCGTGACTGAAACTGTTAAGAAGAAGAAGGGAAAAGGAGTTAAATAATAACTGATATAAATCAGTGGTCAAACTTGAATAAAACCAGATCCCTGCAAACTAACTCTTCACAATTAATCTGATGTTCGTTAGTGAGTGATTACAGGACGAATTTACTTGGGATCCTAGTGAGAGGTCATGACCAGTGGGGTCAACCAGGTCGGGAATGAGGACAAATGCTTACCGATGACATTGGCTGGTGACAGTTGCACTAAAATAACGAAATTGGTGACCAGTAGGTTCTGGGTTCGAACCGTAGTAGTTGCGTACTACGGAAGAGTCCCAGACTGGGGTGAAACAGATTACCAGTACTCCCTGTTTTTCAGTGACTCCCTATTTGACAACAATCCATGGTCAAACTAGAAACAAATCAAATCCTGACACAGCAACTCTTTTAAATCAAAATAAACTTCTGAAAGGTAGAAGATCTGATGATGCGCCTTGCTGACGAGTGACAACTAGCGCGAAACCTAGGTCCAAGGCTTCCTACCGATTACCTTCAACTATCTAATATCATCAAATCAATGCACACTGTGATGGTGAGCTAACTACAATGGTGACCACATTGCACACCTGACTGATAGAATTCAGTCTGCACCAA